ATCTCACATTTATGTTTATTTATTCTACTGTGGGGTGTATTTATCTTATTTATATGTTATGCATCGTGTTTATTATATAATTTTGAAAAAAATATCATGGCTGGATTAATGAAAATGTTTTATATTAACGTAATATACGACATTTAAATGACTCGATGTATGTAAGTTTATTTAGGTACAGGTATACATAAGTATAATTATCAGAGTATATATAAAATATGAAATAACTTTTAAAAACATTTGAAATTTTGGAGTTTCCAGACAAAATGGAGAGACTTAGTGCTTACTGAGCTCATGGAGAATGTAAACAAACAGGGTGGGGCACGGTGACCGTATTAGAAAGTCAGGTGGGGGGAGCCGTATAGTGAGTTTTGGTCATAATTTGAAATGTCCGTATTAGCGGAACGCCGTAAAGTGAAACGCCGTAAAGCGGGGCCTTCCTGTATATATACATCCCTCTGGGTTTTCTTCTATTTTCTTACTAGTTCTTGTTCTTGTTTATTTCCTGTTATCTCCATGGGGAAGTGGAACAGAATTCCTCCTCCATAAGCCATGCGTGTTGTAAGAGGCGACTAAAACGACGGGAGCAAGGGGCTAGTAACCCCTTCTCCTGTATAAATTTCTAAATTTAAAAAGAGAAACTTTCGTTTTTCTTTTTGGGGCCACCCTGCCTTGGTGGGATACGGCCGGTTTATTGAGAAAAAAAAAAAAAACGCCTACTGGATATACCAGGTAAAGTATATGGTAGGGTTATTACTGAAAGAATTAATGGTAAGACAGAGACCAGAATCACAGATGAACAAGGAGGCTTTAGAATGGGTAGGGGATGTGTAGACGAATATATGGTAGGGTTATTACTGTAAGAATTAATGGTAAGACAGAGAGCAGAATCACAGATGAACAAGGAGGCTTTAGAATGGGTAGGGGATGTGTAGACGAAGTGTTTACATTGAAGCACATAAGTGAACAATATTTAAATAAAAATACGGAAGTTTTCACTGCTTTTATGGATTTAGAAAAGGCATATGATAGGGCAGAAAGGGGAGCAATGTGGCAGATGTTACATGTATGGAATAGGTGGTAAGTTACTAAATGCTGTAAAGAGCTTTTATGAGGATAGTGAGGCTCAGGTTAGGGTGTATAAAAGAGAAGGAGATTCCTTTCCAATAAAAGTAGGCCTTAGACAGAGATGTGTGATGTCACCATGGTGGTTTAGCCCTTTCATTGTTCAGACCATCAATATGAAGCTTGTCCACAGCATCCAAGAATTTTCAAAAAGTTTTATTTTTTCTTATGAAATGGTAGAGAATCTTTTCTGCCGTGTCAGCGATATCTATGCATCGGCAATTTTGCCCATTCTATTTTAGGCCAATTACATTGTTCCAATAAACCAAATTCTAAGCTATTTTGCTAGTATGTCTTCCATTTTATCAACTGAGCACAAGAAACTGCCCCATCAACTATTTCAACTACCCAAGACAGTGATCAGAAAATGGTAATTTGCCAATTTCACATAAATTTCAAAATGTGCCAATTTCAAAATAGCATTGAGAATAAACAATGCAGGCATTCCTGGCACTAAAATAACACTTCCTCTCTTCATTAGTTATGTTCCCAGGCTTTATTTAAATTTTTATTCACACAAAGAAATTTTATTCATGTACAAAAAATGATTTACTGTTGTGAATTATTGTAATAACTATATAAATGTCAGCATATTCATGAACACATATTAGACCAACCAGCTGGACACACTGGACAAGTGAGGTGATTTATCTATACTGGAATACAGTGGACCCCCGCATAACGATTACCTCCGAATGCGACCAATTATGTAAGTGTATTTATGTAAGTGCGTTTGTACGTGTATGTTTGGGGGTCTGAAATGGACTAATCTACTTCACAATATTTCTTATGGGAACAAATTCGGTCAGTACAGGCACTTGAACATACTTCTGGAGTGAAAAAATATCGTTAACCGGGGGTCCACTGTATAGGCAAAAATTCAGCATTTCCGCTACTTTGAACTCTATTTCAAGTTATTTTCAGCCCTGAAACCAATCAAAATCATCTCTATTTCTATAATATATCTTCCATTCTATCAAATAAGGTTAAGAAACCAAAAATACAACCATAAAAACCATCCAAAAATACGCTTCAAAGTCACTATTTTAAACCAAAAGCACAGTCGCAATTTATTTTCCCATTATGCACTGCGTAGGGCAGGATTATTTTTTATTTGGTGCACATTTACCACACTGACCCATTCTCCCATGTCTAGGCCCAAACTTACTGCTCACTGCTTATCTGAGTGAGGTGATGAATTAATGGCACAGAACTACGGATGGACAGCGAAAAGGCTAGCATATTTATAGATGGGGTTGTAAAAGAAGTATATGCTAAGGTGTTGGGGAGAAGGGTGGGATTAAATTATGCAGAATTAAATACAAAATGGGAGCTGACACAGTTACTTCTTGGGAGATTCTAAAGTGAAGTTGCAAATGTTAGCGAACGAGTTTGGGAGGGTGTGTAAAGGAAGAAAGTTGAAAGTGAACATAGATAAGAGTAAGGTGATGAGGGGTATCAAACAAGTTAGGTAGGGAAAAATTGGATATCAGATTGAAGGGAAGGAGTATGAAAGAAGTGAATGATTCAGATATTTGGGAGTTGACTTGTCAGCAGATGGGTTTATGAAGGATGAGGTAAACCACAGAATTGATGAAAGGAAAAATGTAGGGCATGAATGAGGTATCTGTGGAGACAAAGAATGTTATCCATGGAGGCAAAGAAGGGAATGTATGAGGGTACAGTAGTACCAACACTCTTATATGTGTGTGTGAAGCATGGGTTGTAAACACTGAAGCAGGGAGGAGGCTGGAGGCAATGGAGATGTCGTGTCTGAGGGCAATGTATGGTGTAAATATTATGCAGAGAATTCGTATTTTGTAAATTAGGAGGAGGTGTGGAGTTACTAAAAGTATTATTCAGAGGGGCTTAGAAGGGCTTGTGGAGGTGGTTTGGCCATTTAGAGAAGATGGAGCAAAACAGCAGGACTTGGAGGGAATAAATCTGTAGTGGAGGGAAGGCGGTGTAGGGGTTACCCTAGGAAAGGATGGAGGGAGGGGGTAAAGGAGGATTTGTGTGCAAGGGGCTTCGACATACACAGGCATGTGTGAGTGTGTTAGATAAGAATGAGTGGAGATGAATGCTTTTCAGAACTTGACAAGCTGTTGGAGTGTGAGCAGGGTAATGTTTAATGAAGGGATTCAGGGAACTAGTTAGCCTGACTGAAGTCTTGGGCAGGAAGTACAATGCCTGCACACTGAAGGAGGGGTTTGGGATACTGGCTGCTTGGAATGACATCTAAACTGTCAATCTGTACCCCTTTGACAAGACAGTGATAATGTGAATGATGGTAGAAGTGTTTCATTTTTGGTTTGCCCTGCCCCGGTGGGAGACAGTCAGTATGTTAAAACAAAAAAATTATAAATTGGATTTTTTAATTTTGTGTAATATTGGCCAAATTACCAATTTCTGTGCACTTTAAGATTGTTGTAATAGTGGGATGGGAGATTTCTTGTGCTCAACCAACAGAATGGAAGGCAAAATAGCTAAGAGTTTGGTTGAGTAGAGCAATGTAAATGACATGAAATAAGACTCACAATGAGTGAAATTGCCAATAGGTAAATTGTTCCCAGACTGCTAACTTTGCACCTGCATGAATCTATCAAATTTCATAACTTTGGTGCCAATGCCTTTCAGAAAAAGATTCCCTGCTATTTAAGAAGGAAAATGTGGACAGCGAGAGCAATATTAATTTCATGGGACTGGACAGTGAAAGGGTTAAGTGGGCACGACGGTAAAAAAAAATTTTTGTGTACCTCTTGATCTATGTTACTAATCAAATTTTTAGCAATAAAATAAGCTCCTATTCCCAACATGTTAAGAATATTAGTGTCTGACTGCATTAGATAAAAACAAACAACCTTATGATTGTGCAAGACAGGTATACAATACCGACAAGATGAAAGTTAAGACACTTGTGCAACATCTGGTTATCTTTATTGTAGACGTTTCGCCATCCAGTGGCTTTATCAATACAGATTCTTGGACATAATTAGAAAACAGAAGAACTATATACAAAAGATGAGGTAATCAGCCTTGGAGGTGGTGTTTACAGCACCATGGTTGTAGAGATTCTACAACCATGGTGCTGTAAACACCACCTCCAAGGCTGAGGGACTGATTACCTCATTTTTTGTATATAGTTCTTCTGTTTTCTAATTATGTCCAAGAATCTGTATTGATAAAGTCACTGGATGGCGAAACATCTACAATAAAGATAACCAGATGTTGCACAAGTGTCTTAACTTTCAACCTTACAATTGAAAAAATAAATTGGTTGACCAAGATTTAGGGATTAATGATTACATGAAAAGCTTAAATATCAACAGATAAAGATGGTGTTGTACTAGATAAAGTCAGATATGTAAGTTAGGACCCAGGTAGTAGGTTAGTAGACAGCAACCGCCCAGGGAAGTACTACCATCCTGCCCAGTGAGTGTGAAACGGAAGTCTGTAATTGTTTTACATGATGGTAGGATTGCTGGTGTGCTTTTTTCTGTCTCATAAACATGCAAGATTTCAGGTACATCTTACTACTTCTACTTACACTTAGGTCAGACTACACATGCATGTATATAAACACCCCTCTGGGTTTTCTTCTATTTTCTTACTAGTTCTTGTTCTTGTTTATTCTCTCTTATCTCCATGGGGAAGTAGAACAGAATTCTTCCTGCCTAAGTCATGTGTGTCATAAGAGGCAAGTAAAATGCCAAGAGCAATGGGTTAGTAACCCCTTCTCCTGTATATATTACTAAATTTAGAAGGAGAAACTTTTGTTTTTCTTTTTGGGCCACCCTGCCTCAGTGGGAAATGGCTGGTTTGTTGAAAGAAGAAGAATAAGATATGTAGCTACAGAGTCCACTAGCATATAAACATCAATAAGTACTCACTGTACACAAGTCTAAGGATTTATCCTCAAAGAATACACCAACGACTGAATCCTTGTTGCCACCAATGGGATATTCTCGCAGATTCTTTAGCTTGGCAAAGCCATACACACGTGTTGTCATATCCCGTGATCCAACTGCGAGTACCCTGCAAGAAAGTATATTATACTAATGCACTAAACTATATAAAATTCTTTCCATAAGTATAAGGAGGAAACAAAGCAACACTCAACCTCCTCTTACCTACCAACAACTGCCATAAAGATAAGAGCCTGTTTATGCATCCAGTCTAGGGCATCCACTGGAACTTTTGCAAGGATGGGCAAGGAGTCCAATGGGGAAACTAGTGGGCAGGAAGGCTATCTATACGACTGTTTTTTCTTGACACATGTCTACACCAGGAGAGGCCAAATGCCCCTACCTCCCAGCATGTGCCTTGTACCCAGTGCTTGTTACCTAACTACATACTGAGTTATTATATCACCATGCATCTTACTACCTTATGTATACTTCACTACTTCTGTAAGGAATTAGTCATTTATGAAATTACAAGTAAGAAACCCTCTTGTAAACATCATTTATTTCAAATAAAATGTTACAGTGAATTAAAGCAGAAGAATTTTTTAGGAAAAACTACACTAATTACTGAAATAAAATATATATTTGAGGAAATTAAAGTAAAAATGTTTAATAAATATTTGAGATATTTAGATAATCAATGACTAGTAAACATTTGAGTAAATTAACTTATTACATACTGTATTTCGCAGCTTATTAGACACATGGTTTTTCCCTATAAAATGTCTCCAAAAACCACCCTGTGTCCTATAACTGAAGGTCAGTGACGGGAGGTATGTTTGGGGTGTGGGGTGGGCTGTAACTCTCCCAGTTATGTCTGATGCTGAGCCATTGAAACTAAAACAAGTCTTATAAGTTGCGTCTTATAAGTTGTGAAATACGTTAATCAATATTTGAGTCGAGGTATTAGACTTCTGAGATTTAGACCATTAAAACAACAATAACATATATTCACTTATTTCAAAGCCAGTGAGCATGGCACCACATTAAGCATGGGTAATTCTATAACAAATTTGAGACAGTCACATAAAAACAGGATAACAAATTAGGTGAGCAACTACAAACAAGTCAGAATTAACCCTCAGAGGGTGGGTCCCACTGTTCTATGGCTTTGAAGCACGGGCCAGTGCCATAGTTCTACGCCATGAACTCGGGTCACTCAGATAAGCTGTGAGCGGTAAACTTGGGCCTAAATATGAGAGAATGGATCTATGCAGTAAATGTGTGCCATATAAAAAAAATCCTGCAATACACAGTGCATAATAGTGGAAAAAACTGCAACCGTGTTTTTGGTTTAAAACAGCAATTTTGGAGTGTATTTCTGTATGTTTTTTATGGTTGTATTCTTGGTTTCTTGGTCTCATTTGATAGAATGGAAGATATAATACAGAAACAGAGATGATTTTGATTAATTTCAGGATTGAAAAAAGGTTGAAACTGAGCTCAAAGTAGCAGCAATGTTCAATTTTTGCTAATATTCCTGAGTACACAAATGACTTCACTCACCCAATACATGTCCAACTGTCCAGTCTAGTACACTTTCAGGAATGCACTGGCATTATTTATACAATTATTACAATAATGCAGTAGTCTGCATAACAGTAAACTTTCTATAGTTTGTGTGAATAAAAATTCTAAGTGGAATTCATGTGCATAGCCATGGGATATAACTAATGAACAGAGGAATGTTATTTTAGTGCCAGGAATGTCTGCATTGTTTATTCTGGACCCTATTTTGAAACTGGTATTTCTTGAATTGTGTGAAATTAGCCAAATTACCAATTTCTGATGACTTTATTGGGCAGCTGAAATAGTTGAACAGGCAGTTTCTTGTACTCAATCGATAGAATGGAAGGCATACTAGTAAAATAGCTAAGAATTTGGTCAACTGGAATAACATAATTGGCCCAAAATTGGGCTCAAGGTGGGCAAAAATCACCAGTGCGTAAAAATTACCAACAGCACAATTCACAAAAGCATAATTTCATCAGTTTTCCATTAAATTTGGTATTTTTTGTTTTATTAACTTCAGAAAAAGATTCTCTACCATTTCACAAGAAAAAATTATTTTTTTCTTAAAAGTTTTCCGACCCTGAGAGCAAGTTCGAGAGCAGGGGTCCCGACCCTCAAAGGGTTAATTCAGAGTAGATTATGTATTACAGTATATACCTACAGATATACAAACAACACACATACATACTTTCTTCTACTCATATTTTACTTTCTATAAACGCTTAACTCCCAATTTTACCGGCGGTCTTTAACTCACAAATGCCCCATGTTACCGTACACACATTCACAATCACAAATCAATTAGCAACCAATTCAAGTTTCACAACCACCAAGCAACAGTGTGGACAAGTGAAACATACCCAATTTTTGTGTTGAAATTTTGTATGAAAATGACTCATTTGTAATTTGAAATGGTGGAGGAGGGGGGCTGGGGGTTCTGGCAGCGGTGGTGGTGGTGCTGGTAATGACTCATTGTGCGTAATTTATCAAATGAACTTTATGACAGATATGTACGTAAACGAAAAATGACTCATATACATGTACAGGGTTTGCTATTATCAGTGGATTTAGGCATCAGGTCTAGGAAAGCATCACCCATGGATACGGGGGGACTAATGCATCAATTAATCAATGAGCATTTCCTTATATACATTAGACACAGTTATCATAATTTTAAAAATAAAAAAGTCTGAAAAAATATAAAAAACTGCTATTTGTATCAACTTAAAATTGAGTATCAGTACAGCCTCTCCTCACATAACAACAGAGTTCCATTCCAAAGACTACATTAGTAAATGAATTCGAAGCTAAGGAAGAAGCATACTATAATGGTAGTGGGTTTGAGCCAACCATCTTTGATATTGTTTTAATGTCACCTTTGCACCATTTATAACATTTCTGGTATATTTTTAAATGTTCATACAGTAGTGCACTGTATATTGTAATAAACAGAATAGAAGAAATCAGCTCTAATATACATTATTTACGAATGCATACCAGTCAGAGAGCCCATCATAAGTCTGAGTCGTTGGTAAACTAGTAGGTCGCTATGTGTGGAGAGGCTGTTATTTTATTATTTTATTATCACACTGGCCGATTCCCACCAAGGCAGGGTGGCCCGAAAAAGAAAAACTTTCACCATCATTCACTCCATCACTGTCTTGCCAGAAGGGTGCTTTACACTACAGTTTTTAAACTGCAACATTAACACCCCCTCCTTCAGAGTGCAGGCACTGTACTTCCTATCTCCAGGACTCAAGTCCGGCCTGCCGGTTTCCCTGAATCCCTTCATAAATGTTACTTTGCTCACACTCCAACAGCACGTCAAGTATTAAAAACCATTTGTCTCCATTCACTCCTATCAAACACGCTCACACATGCCTGCTGGAAGTCCAAGCCCCTCGCACAACAAAACCTCCTTTGCCCCCTCCCTCCAACCTTTCCAAGGCCGACCCCTACCCCAACCTTCCTTCCACTACAGACTGATACACTCTTGAAGTCACTCTGTTTCGCTCCATTCTCTTACATGCCCAACCCCTCAAAAAACCCTTCCTCAGCCCTTGGACAACAGTTTTGGGAATCCCCCACCTCCTCCTAATTCCAAATACGAATTTTGCATTTATTCACACAACACATTTTCCCCAGAATGACATTTTCCCCCTGCCTCCCCTTTCTCCGGCAACATTCTACCCAGCTTCACCCCATATAAGAGCGTTGGTAAAACTATAAATCTCTACTTCCCTTTTTTGTGGAAAAGTTCTTTGTATCCCCAGACTCCTAAGGGACCAATCACCCCTTTTTCCCCTAATCAATTTGATTACCCCACTTTATAGCCCATCCGCTGACAGTCCACTCCAATAAACTGAAAACATTCACCTCCTCCAACTCTTCTCCCCCCAACGATATCAAAACTTTCATACCCAATCTTTCTGTTTCCCATAACCTTACTCTTTCCTGTATTTACTTTTTTTTTTTTCCTTTTTGGCACACCCTTTCCAAATTCTCCGCCCAAACTCTGCAACTTCTCTTCAGATTTTCCCAAAAGCACAGTGTCATCAGCAAAAAGCAACTCTGACAACTCCCACTTTATGTGTGATTCTTTATCTTTAAACTCCACGCCTCTTGCCAAGACCCTCGCATTTACTTCTCTTACAACCCCATCTATAAATATATTAACCCTTTGACTGTCACAACCCCCAATCCTGAGGTGTCTCCTGGTGTCGCAAAATTTAAAAAAAAAAATTATTTTTTCTTTATGAAATGATAGAGAATCTTTTCCCGATTGTAATGACACCAAAAAAACGAAATTTGATGGAAAACTGACGGAATTATGCTCTCGCGAAGTTAGCGACCTCGGAGCTGTTTACAAATCGGCGATTTCGCCCACTTTGAGCCCTATTTTCGGCTAATTCCATTGTTCCAGTCGCCCAAACTCATAGCTATTTCTTTAGAACTCCATTTTTTCTATTGATTGAGTACAAGAAACTGCCCTTTTACCGATTTCAACTACCTAATAATGTGGTCAGAAATTTGCAATTTGGCCAATTTCACGAAAACTAAAAAATATGACAATTTCAAAATAAGGTCCAGAATGAACAATGCAGACATTCCTGGCTCTAAAATAACATTTTCTTTGCTCATCAGTCATGTCTCCAGGCCCCTCTGATATTACTCTTGCTTTCTATTTTGAATTTTTATTCAAACAAAAAATAGAAGACTTACTATTATGCAGACTACTGCAATACTGTAATAATTGTATAAATAACATCAACCCATTCATGACTGCATATTAGAATGGCAAGTTGGACATTTATTGGACAATGGCATCATTTGTTTACTTTTGAACATTGGCAAAAATAAAAAATTTCCCCTACTTTGAGCTCCATTTCTAGGTTCTTTTTATAGTAAAATCAATCAAAATCACCTCTATTTCTATAATATGTTTTCCATTCTATCAAATGAGGCCAAGAAAATGAGAATACAATCATAAATACTATACGAAAATAGACCACAAAGTCGGCATTTTAATTAAAAAAATCGGTCGGAGTTTTTTTTTCTCATTATGCACTGCGTGCTCCAGGATTTTTTTTATATGGTGCCCACTGATCACACAGACCCATTCTCTCACATGTGGGCCTACCAGCTTTCTCCTGCTTGATTTGAAGCCGCTAGAATTTATGAGTATATATACATCAAACACGGTACCTCGTAAGACGTATATATACGGCCGCGACAGTCAAAGGGTTAAACAACCATGGTGACATCACACATCCTTGTCTAAGGCCTACTTTTACTGGGAAATAATTTCCCTCTTTCCAACAAACTCTAACTTAAGCCTCACTATCCTCGTAAAAACTCTTCACTGCTTTCAGTAACCTACCTCCTACACCATACACCTGCAACATCTGCCACATTGTCCCCCTATCCACCCTGTCATACGCCTTTTCCAAATCCATAAATGCCACAAACACCTCTTTAGCCTTATCTAAATACTGTTCGCTTATATGTTTCACTGTAAACACCTGGTCCACACACCCCCTACCTTTCCTAAAGCCTCCTTGTTCATCTGCTATCCTATTCTCCATCTTACTCTTAATTTTTTCAATAATAACTCTACCATACACTTTACCAGGTATACTCAACAGACTTATCCCCCTATAATTTTTTGCACTCTCTTTTGTCCCCTTTGCCTTTATACAAAGGAACTATGCATGCCTCCTGCCAATCCCTAGGTACCTTACCCTCTTCCATACATTTATTAAATAATTGCACCAACCACTCCAAAACTATATCCCCACCTGCTTTTAACATTTCTATCTTTATCCCATCAATCCCGGCTGCCTTACCCCCTTTCATTTTACCTACTGCCTCACGAACTTTCCCCACACTCACAACTGGCTCTTCCTCACTCCTACAAGATGTTATTCCTCCTTGCCCTATACACAAAATCACAGCTTCCTTATCTTCATCAACATTTAACAATTTACTTAAAATATTCCCTCCATCTTCCCAATACCTCTAACTCTCCATTTAATAACTCTCCTCTCCTATTTTTAACTGACAAATCCATTTGTTCTCTAGGCTTCCTTAACTTGTTAATCTCACTCCAAAACTTTTTCTTATTTTCAACAAAATTTGTTGATAACATCTCACCCACTCTCTCATTTGCTCTCTTTTTACATTGCTTCACCACTCTCTTAACCTCTCTCTTTTTCTCCATATACTCTTCCCTCCTTGTATCACTTCTACTTTGTAAAAACTTCTCATATGCTAACTTTTTTCCCCTTACTACTCTCTTTACATCATCATTCCACGATCGCCTCTCTTCCTCCTGCACCCACTTTCTGTAACCACAAACTTCTGCTGAACACTCTAACACTACATTTTATAAACCTACCCATACCTCTTCGACCCCATTTCCTATGCTCTCATTAGCCCATCTATCCTCCAATAGCTGTTTATACCTTACCCTAACTGCTTCCTCTTTTAGTTTATAAACCTTCACCTCTCTCTTCCCTGATGCTTCTATTCTCCTTGTATCCCATCTACCTTTTACTCTCAGTGTAGCTACAACTTGAAAGTGATCTGATATATCTGTGGCCCCTCTATAAACATGTACATCCTGAAGTCTACTCAACAGTCTTTTATCTACCAATACATAATCCAACAAACTACTATCATTTTGCCCTACATCATATCTTGTATACTTATTTATCCTCTTTTTCTTAAAAATTATTACCTATAACTAAACCCCTTTCTATACAAAGTTCAATCAAAGGCTCCCATTATCATTTACACCTGGCACCCCAAACTTACCTACCACACCCTCTTTAAAAGTTTCTCCTACTTTAGCATTCAGATCCCCTACCACAATTTACTCTCTCACTTGGTTCAAAGGCTCCTATACATTCACTTAACATCTCCCAAAATCTCTCTCTCTCCTCTACATTCCTCTCTTCTCCAGGTGCAAAACACGCTTATTATGACCCACTTTTCGCATCCAACCTTTACTTAATCCACATAAATTTTTGAATTTAAAACATACATATTCTCTTTTCTCCTTCCATAACTGATCCTTAACATTACTGCTACCCCTTCCTTTGCTCTAACTCTCTCAGATACTCCAGATTTTTAAAACCCATTTATTTCCCCCCACCGAAACTCCCCTACCCCCTTCAGCTTTGTTTCCACTTAGGGCCAGGACATCCAACTTCTTTTCGTTCATAACATCAGCAATCATCTGTTTCTTGTCATCTGCACTACATCCACGCACATTCAAGCATCCCAGTTTTATAAAGTTATTCTTCTTCTCTTTTTTAGTAAATGTCTACAGGAGAAGGGGTTACTAGCCCATTGCTCCCGGCATTTTAGTCGCCTCATATGACACGCATGGCTTACGGAGGAAAGATTCTTTTCCACTTCCCCATGGACAATATAAGAAATAAAGAAGAACAAGAGCTATTTAGAAAAAGGAGAAAAACCTAGATGTATGTATATATATATGCATGTGCGTGTCTGTGAAGTGTGACCAAAGTGTAAGTAGGAGTAGCAAGATATCCCTGTTATCTAGCATGTTTATGAGACAGAAAAAGAGAGGCTGTATTGTCACAAAAATTTGCAATCATCCCATTCATAGTTCACATACTCTCAAACCATTCATCATCCAACTACAATCTTCAATACATGAATATTGCCTTAAAAAGAATCACAGCCTTTTTTTTTTCACTTTTTTTTTTTTCAACAAGTCGGCCGTCTCCCACCGAGGCAGGGCGACCCAAAAAAGAAAGAAAATCCCCAAAAAGAAAATACTTTCATCATCATTCAACACTTTCACCACACTCACACATTATCACTGTTTTTGCAGAGGTGCTCAGAATACAACAGTTTAGAAGCATATACGTATAAAGATACACAACATATCCCTCCAAACTGCCAGTGCATATAAAAGCCTTAAAGCATATTTACATTATTATTTATTTGGTGCACAACAGTGCTAGGCTTAAAAAAAATGCAAAAGTATATATATAAAAATATTCTACAGTACCATATTGTTAACCTGATGTGCACATCACCGCTGAAAGTAATAAACAGGAAAATAATTGAAAAGCGCCGTATTAGCGAAGCGCTCTAAAGCAAAGTGCCGTATTAGTGAGGTATGCCTGTACTCTTCATAATTTTTCTTTTTCTCTTGCCAGCATTCCCTTTAAACTGTTATTAAGGTATAAGCAGAAGAGTTTGTAAATGTAACACCAAGGCCAAGTAAACAAAAAGTTCACCCAAGTAATGAAACTAAAGTACTGACAAACATTAAAGTTTTACAATAGAAAGAACTACTGAAACCAACCTGAGTCAAAGTACTGACAAACACTGAAGTCTTACTTTAGAGAGTACTGAAACCAACCTGGAGTCAAAGGACCAGTCCAAGCAAGTTGTGTCATCATAAGCACCATGGAAGACTCTCTCTAGCACAAATGGGTCAAATATTCGCTTGTTGGCGCCTGGAGCACAATACACAAGCACTGAGGGAGATAATAAGCTTTTTTAATGATTAAGTAATACACTTTTATAGGGGTAGGACATGTTCAGTGGGTGGAGGGGTGGGATGTGTTCAGTGGGTGAGGGAAGGGTGGGATATGTTCAGTGGGTGAGGGAGGGGCAGGACATCACCTAACACAATCCATCACACTCACCACTACCTTCAATGCACTACATACATTCACTGGATTTACCACCCCAAAATCTTTTTTTTTTTTCTATTAGTCTTTCTTATGAAAGTTGATATAAATCAGTTTAGAATAATATTTATAAGATATTGGTTGTAATAAAGTTGGTAGAATTACCGACAATATGTAAAGTAAAAAGACACAAGTGCAACTAATGTGACATTTTATTGTGGCAACGTTTCGCTCTCTTTCCAGTCTATATTTGTCCAACCTATTTTTATGTTACCCAAGGAATAGCTTTTATATTTATTAATTGCTCTACCATATTGCATTACTATACAACTTTTGTCACTACTACTACTACTACTACTACTATTACTACTACTACTACTACTACTACTACTACTACCACTAGTGAACATCGAAATGGTACCTCACTAGTATTGCACCTCACTCTGAGCCTTTATATACCCACTGTGTCCATGTATTGTTTGTAATGGCTTGACAAAGCCATTACAAACGTTTCGCTCCTGGAGAGCGAAACGTTGCCACAATAAAATGTCACATTAGTTGCACTTGTGTCTTTTTACTTTACAAGATATTGGTTAAAAAAAAGTCAAGTGGAGCTGTGATTGAGTGATCTCATATGAATGAAAATGCACAAAGACCACCCACTCCAGTCACAAAGTATTTTTAATGCATACATATAAGAAAATTCACACACAGCAAATCGGCAAAGAGGGGAAACTATGCTTTACATATAAAGTGTATCCAATATACTTTTATGCTCTATTAGTACATATTACTGCTGGTTTAAGTCTGGCCAAAATGCTTTGTATAATAGAACGTTATATTACATGGGTTTATTTTCCACATTTTGGTTATTTCACTACTGCAAAATTGTGGCATGTTTTTATACAACATTTCGTGAAATTTACTTAACACAGTTCCATTTCTGGGCTGGTAAAAAATATGGAGCGTCGCCTGCTCAATGCCGCGATATATCCTACCGAGCAGTGAGCTCACGGGCATTCTGGCTCTGGGTCAGGCCAAGGAAGACGTACCTTCCTCCCCTGCCACCCCTATCTCAGTGTTCCGTGCATACGAATCTCATACGGTTCTCAGAACTGTGTTTGTGATCTGTGTTTTGATTTTTTCATTACCATATCTTGTATCTGTACTTTCATTTTTCCTTTTGGGCCACCCCACCTCGGTGGGATACGGCCGGTGTGTTGAAAGAAGATCTTGTATCTACCAAGCAACCATGGCACCCAGGAGGCATGCAAGTGATGCCGGAAGTGGCAAGTAGAGGTTTAAGTGTTTGGGTCTTGGAGTTACGAAGAAAATCGAGACATTAGACAAGCTTAAAAGTGGTTCACATGTGGTAGACATAGCCTAAGCTTATGGCCTTAATGAAGTGTTAGTTACTACAATTAAAACGAATGAGGTAACTATACAGGTTTGTGTAATGAATAACCCATGATGTCATCTCCTCAAAAGAATGACACATAGCTCACAACTACCTGAATAAACTGACTTAACTGACCTGACTTACTGACTGGACTGACTTGACTTGCTGACTGACTGGACTGAGACTTACTGACTTGACTAACTTAACTTACTTGACTGACTTGACTTACTTGACTGACTTAACTGACTTAACTTATTGACTTGACTTATTAACTGACTTAACTTACTGACTGGACTGACTGACTTGACTGTTTTAACTTGGTTTTCTGGAGTGTCTGGTTTACTGCCAGGGTAGCATGCAAGGTCAAAGACAAACGGCTACAGACTAGCACCAGTTATTCAGAAGAATAAATGGTGTTAGTCTATAGCCGGACAGACTTAGGGCCACCAGAGCCAGCCCAGAGGGGAGGAAGTGCTGAAAGTCAGCTAGGTGCCAAGTGAGAATGTGGTATTGCAGTGTAGGTCTACCCCGGTGCCTGACATCTGGTGGGAATTTTAGGAACTAGGCCTAGTAACTCTAGTGGGATGTGAAACATATAGACCTACTGTCTACATGACTTACTGACATAACTGATTTGACTGATTTACTGACTTAACTGACTTACTGACTTGACTGACTGACTGGACTGATTTGACTGCCTTAACCGACTGACTTACTGACCTGACTGACTCATTAGATTTTTTGACTTGGCTGACTTGACTAATTTGACTTACTGACTTAATTAACTGTCTGACTGGAATGACTCAACTTTCTAACTAGTCTGACTTACTGACTAGTTGGACTGACTGAACTGATTTAAAGTTAGACTTTTCACTGAAGAGGACCTTAACAAACCTAGAAGCAGTGCTCTGAAATGGTGTCAAGAGCAGTTGATGATGCCTTACTGTCACCTGCATAATGTACTGCAGGGTAAAATAGCCCAGAGATCCATTACAGAATTTATGCACACTCCATTACGACCATCAACTTTAGTACCAGAACCTCTACCAACTATCTCAGCCCAGTAGGGCCACAGCACGGCTCTCCACTCTCTTCACAATCATCGACAAACACCACCACCCACAATTTAAGGTTAGAAATTTATTTTTTTTTTATTATCACACTGGCTTAACTTACTGACTGGACTGACTGACTTGACTGTTTTAACTTGGTTTTCTGGAGTGTCTGGTTTACTGCCAGGGTAGCATGCAAGGTCAAAGACAAACGGCTACAGACTAGCACCAGTTATTCAGAAGAATAAATGGTGTTAGTCTATAGCCGGACAGACTTAGGGCCACCAGAGCCAGCCCAGAGGGGAGGAAGTGCTGAAAGTCAGCTAGGTGCCAAGTGAGAATGTGGTATTGCAGTGTAGGTCTACCCCGGTGCCTGACATCTGGTGGGAATTTTAGGAACTAGGCCTAGATCAGTAACTCTAGTGGGATGTGAAACATATAGACCTACTGTCTACATGACTTACTGACATAACTGATTTGACTGATTTACTGACTTAACTGACTTACTGACTTGACTGACTGACTGGACTGATTTGACTGCCTTAACCGACTGACTTACTGACCTGACTGACTCATTAGATTTTTTGACTTGGCTGACTTGACTAATTTGACTTACTGACTTAATTAATGTCTGAGGAATGACTCAACTTTCTAAATAGTCTGACTTTTGATAGTTGGAGACTGAAACTGATTTTTAAAATTAGACTTTTTTGAAGAGGACCCTTTAAAAAACCCAGAAGCAGTGTCTGAAATGGTGTCAAGAGCAGTTTATGATGCCTTATGTCCCTGATAATGTATGCGGGTAAAATAGCCCAGAGATCCTTACAGAATTTATGCACACTCCATTACGACCCTCAAATTTTTGTCGAACCTCTACCAACCCATTAGCCCCAAGTAGGGGCACAGGAGGCTCTCCACTCTCTTCACAATCATCGACAAAACCCCACCCACAAATTTTAAAGGGTTTTTAAAATTTTTTTTTTTTTTATTTCACATGGCCCCATTCCCCCAAGGCAGGGGGGGCCCCAAAAAAAAAACTTTACCCCATTCACCCAAATGTCTTGCCAGAAGGGTGCTTTACATACAGTTTTTAAACTGCAACTTAACACCCCTCCTTAGGTGCAGGCGTATTTTCCTTTTCCGGGTCAAATGGTGCGGTTTCCTGAATCCCCTTTAAAATGTTACTTTGCTCACACTCCAAAAGCCGTCATATTAAAAACCAAATTGTCTCCCTTCATCCCTTTAAAAACGCTCACACTGCCTGCTGGAAGTCCCAAACCCCCGCACACAAAACCTCCCTTTACCCCTCCCCCCAACCTTTCCGGCCCACCCCCCCCCGCCTTCCCTTCATACAGCTGTTCACTCTTGAAGTCATTCGTTTTGTCCATTCTCT